TCTCCATTATAGGGGGATACTATACCCTAAACCCTAAACCCATTATAGTAGCTTAATTTAAGTTCCTTAACAGCAACCCAGACCATGGCGAGGCTTTGGCTAGGTCCGGCATGGACCCTCAGTCTTAGAGATGGTGTTTTCGTTTATCACCCCTGTCGTATGTTTTAGACGTTTTAGGGTTTGGGGTTTAGGGAAGCAACACAGCTTTAGGGGCCCCCCAAAACAAGTTCATGTAACATGAAATGGAAGAGAGCATGGACAAAGTCTATCACTGACGCCGGGCTTATGTACGGTTTCTCTAGGGATTGTAATGCAGGTGCCGAATTACTGGACTTCTGTTTTGGCATATTGCATTATAGCCATAAAGGGTGCAGACAGGAATAATGCTGGATCTCTACATTGTTTCTCAAAATTTCCGTGCATGATCCTGATAAATAAGCCTCATCATCTGCTTATGACCCCGACGTATCACTCGGGCCCTTCAAGGTACCCATGTTGAGATCTCCCTATGTCATGCGCTGAAGTGTAACATAAGATGCAAGCAATTTGGTCCAGAGATGCTTATCGCAGCAACGCTGCGACACTCAAACCTCTTAACCCTAAACCCTAGACCCTAACCGTAAACATCCAAGGCCCTCAACCAGCTACATCCAGAGTCCTCCAGCAATACTGCGTGTTCTAGACATAGCTGCACTTGCTACAGTACCTGAAGTCTGCCTTTCCCTCTCTAAGCCCGCAAACTGAAGCATATCCGCCCTAACCCCCCCCCTTTTGAAGCGCAGCCACGCTTTTGTGCATGCGCAGCCACTCGATGGCCTTCGACCATAAGTGCGGAGCTGGATTTCCCCACCCGCTGGTCCGTTCCACAACTTCTTGGGGCTTAATCCATTATAGTAGCTTCCATTTTCTCTTCCATTATCCCAATATAACCCCAATATAACCCCAATATAACCCTAATAAGGTTCATGTCTAGGCGAAGTCGATGCTGAGGGCTCCGGTTTCTGGATGCATGGTTTGGGACTGATTGAGGGGTTCAGGTTCAGAAGCCTCATGGGTTCCTGATGTGGAATCCAATATCAGGAGGTGCACAAGACACCTGCTGGTAAGCTTCATCCCCCCCTCTGCGGCTGTGGAGTGCAAGACGACTGCAAACACCATCTTGTGATCTGGATTAGGACAGAATCCCCGGAGTATCCCGAAGCCTAGAGGCCTAGTGGCAGCATGGGGTTGGCATATCTGGCTTTCAAAGCCAGGCCCCCTCCTCGAGCAAACATGACGAACTATCAGCAAACAAGCGCTGCTATCTCGACTCATCCCTCAAGGCAGTAACCGCATTAACCGCTCAGGCTATAAACAAGGACGACAAGCAAAACCAGAGTCTCTCTCTCTCTCTAAACAAGCCCAGGGTTCCTAGATGGAGTCCCTTGCTGTAGAGTAGATATGAAGGCCGTACTTTCGAGCATTGTCCAAGGTTTCGTCAGCCCTATGTACCAAAGCCTTACTCCAAGCCATTGCCCACACCCCAGGTAGTCGGTAAGAGCCCTCAAGGCCCTTGAGCCCTAATTGTTTTTGAAACTCCTTGATCCTGGGGCTGAAACCCTGATCATCAGACAGCTCCAGAACATGCAACCCCATACCGGCCGGCCTCATCCATGCATGCATCCGCAATGGCCTGTTTTTCTACTTTGGGCAACGATGGTCTTGGGTTCAGGATTTGAGAATTACGACTTGGCTCAGTACTCCCAACAACAAACAACCACACATGAGTTCCCTGGAGAGACTTCAGGGTAGCTGAAACGAGGGTGTGGGGTGGACTAAGGTAGGAGTGTATGAGGGGTATGAAGTAATCGCTGACGCATACTCAGCCATGTCTTGCCTCAACGACCCTTCCGATCAAAGATGATCAAAGGATAGAAGGCCGGCTAAATATCAGCTACATATGACCACTGGATACTCTAATTCAATACCATAAGCCTTGCATCCCTAGCTCTAAGGCCATAATCCCTATATTATATATTCCAATATTCCCCACTTACCCTCCCAGCAAATTGAGCCCTCAGCCTTGGACTTGAAGACCCGTCTTTACCTCAGGTCTCCCTGACAAAAAGCTAAGTGTACCTCGAGAGCCATCAAATGATGCCTAGTAGAATCCCGGCAAGGGCTCCGGGAGAACAAACACTAACATTCATTGCTAACCCCAATCTCAACTCAAACTCTGAAGACCCCTGGTTAAACAAACAACGAACCTACAAACGCCACCTAACCCTTATGCTCAAACCCACACTCCGGCACCATCGGTGTCGAACTGCTGAGACTTCTAACACTCAAGTGCCAGAACCCAACACCGTAAACCCTGAAACCTGATGAAACCTGATCGCTAAACTCTAACCTTCACGCTGAGCCGTCAACTCTATACAGGTCTCACTCCCCAAAATAACACTCAAACTCTACACTCGAAAACCCAAAACCCTAAACATGAAAACCCCAAACCTTCACGCAAACCCTGAAGCAAGCCTAAAAACCTCAAGCCATCCTGAAACCCTGAAACCCTGACCCTGAACCCTAAAACCTAGAGCCCCATACCTCGATCCTGTTTGCGTCTGGCCTGCAGATCTTCACCCCAAGGGTCCAAGTCCCGAAGTAGTAGATGATGGGAGTTCAAATCGGGTATGGGTGGGAGATTGAACCAGAGGGTCTATTTAGACCCGAATTTCATCTGATTTAGGTACTTGGACCTTAGACCTTTAGGGACAAGTCGAATACACGTTTAACCAAGCTGATCATAGAAGGATTCTGGCAACCCCAACCGTCTAATAAGTATAGACCCTACAGCCATACGGAAATTGCAGATTTCTTGTTTCGGGGGTTGCTGTGACCTGAGGCTTCTAGAAATCCCTTTGTCAAACCAGCTTCCGGTTGATGGTTTATGTTTTACATTTGATTCTCTAAGAGTGCGGATACTATCCCTCAATCCTACACCCTACGGGTGCCTCTCGCCGCTTTGTTGCCTCTTCAGTGGAACTGAAGAACTTTGCCGAGGCGCCAGCGTTTCCTACATGGATGTTCTCAAAGGGTGTACTTGCTAGCTCCAATAGTGGAGAATCAATGGAAATGAAAGGGGAACTGGGATTATGATATGGGGATTGCTAGAGGATTTTGGTTCCTGCAAACCCCCAAAATAAGGATCCTGGGTTCTTGGGTGGGTATTGCAAGGAACCTGGAGCATACTGGGGATCTATGGTTGAGGGCCGGCGGCTTTCAAAATGAGATGCAAACTACTACATAGGGATGGTAAAATGGAAGCGACTGCATTACTGTCATTTTATATAGGGTCAAGTCTAGGGATCCATTCCTCTATTCAACACTCACGACCAGCAAATACATGGACGTTCAACACCGGGAGTCCATTATACCGGACTAGGGTTTAGAGCTTAGGGTTTCGGGCTTTGGGGTGTAAGGAGCTTTTACAGTGAGGTCGGCGGGTGGGTGCACTGTGGAACCCGGGGCTTGTGGACAAAAAAATATGAGTCCAGCGGGAAGTGTCTTGCTTCTTGAAGTCTTGGAGGAAACAGAACACTGCATGATTTCTATTAATGTATGTAGTACTCATACACAAAAGCCAGGGCTGTGTAGAGGCCATGTAGGGCTTCAGGGGATCCGACTATGCTAGGCAATATAATACCATGGAGATGCAGGGGCGAAGGACGTGCGGCGGTTTCCTAAAATTAGAAGTGTCATGTGGGGGGTCCCAATAACAATGACTGTAGTAGATATAAGGGTTGCCCTGTTTAGGGAAAGTACTATGCACCGCTTAGGCGTAAGAGTGTTGAGGTGGGCGTGTAGAGCTTCATGTAAGTCCCTGCCTCGCAAAGAAACTGCGAATTAGGGTTTAGGGTTTAGGGTTGATGAACCAGATTTCAGGACCTGATAAAACACTTGTGAAGGTCGGGGGCCCTGATCAAGTCTGGACTGCTAGTCCGAGTTTTGTGCCATTTCTCCGACGACCTATAAGAATGATCGTTCCGGGCATTCTTACACAAAGTTCTGTTGGGATTTGATGTGGGCAACGTGGGATTGCTGCAGTGTCTTGCAGTGACTGTTTAAATGATTTCCAAAACGCCTGGATCCCTTTTCGAGGTGCTTGCAGATCAGGAGCCTCCACAGTGGTGATCACAGACATGGGTTCCTTTTCAAGGTGCTCGCAAACACCTGAGCGCCTGCGTTAAATGCTGCAATGAACAGAACGCAACCTGCTTTGGTTCCAGGCATCTTCTTACCATCACCAACAAAAGCAATGACGACCTGCGTCTCTGGAGCTATGCAAGATCTCTGGCCTGTTGGCTTTCTTAGGTTCTATGCACCACTCAGAGACCTTTCCAATAGATTGGTGTCCAAGTAGCATGGGCGGTGCACGGAATGGGAAATATGTTTCAACACCAGGAAGGACGTCCTCTGAGACCCAGCAAGAGCTGAAGCTGCAGCACGACCCTTTTTACTAGCACTATACAGTCGCTTGAAATCACATGTATTGTTACCTCGGTCACAGAAACTATGAGAATGCTGAAACCTATACATATTCTCCAGCAAGCTCAAGCAAGCTGCTTAGCAGCACCTGATGCATATTCGCTGAGCCGCACCTCCCCAGATTCCACACAATTGGCGTCAGATTTGTCGCAGGCTTGCAACAAGGCTCGATGCAGGACTCCGGCATCAGACGGCGGTTGGTCGAGGATCAATGACTCGGTGCTCCCCAGATCTTGATAACGATTTGCATGGACCCTGGGCGCGCTGTGAAACTGGATCTCTCTAAGGTTGGGGCAAGTCACTTGCGCCAAGGCCTTGGCGAAAGCTGACAGAAGCACAGATCTCCTGTCTTCCACAGATCTCCTGTTTTTCGGCCGCTCATCCTTATACATGCAGAAGATAATACACTCGAGGGATTCAAATGCTGGCAAGGCAACAGCGAGGTCGCTCAAATCATCCTCTCTCACGACATGCAAATTGATTCCGAACAACTTGCATTTGGGGATCTTCTCGTTGAAGACCTGTGCTTGCAGCCGCAGCACCTCACTAGCATCGCTGCGGAGGGTGAACTTGAGGCCGGTGCCCTTGCCATCCGCGAAACGCTCCGCGAACACGTGTGGCGGTAAAGGAATCGCTGAATTGGACACTGCATCCTTGGTGCATGACCACTGTACCTCTGCAGAACACCATCCACGAGACTCGTATGGGGTTCGATTTGCCTCCAGCTTTGAAGCAGGGATTTGCTTGACCATGCGTGACTCTTCATCGTACACGGCGATAAGACTGTCCTTGTGTGCCTCAATAATATCCGTTGGTGTAAGTTCATCAAGGAACACGGTCTCAGCCTCCTCATGCGAGTAGAGCACGTGCATATTGGCCATGGCACGGCCAAATGCAGCAACCTCAGAGCCTGCTCTCTTGTATTGGTGCAAGCTACAGAAATCGAAGAAGACCCAAACATGTCGCAAGTTTCTGTGGTTTTTTGAATATGTCTGAGCCGCAATCGTCGTAGGCGTATGGCTGTTGGAGCTTCTCTACAAGCTGCCGAAGTTGATGTCCATAAGGATCAGGATGTTGCTTCGACTCCCAGCAATGCGACACTACCTTGATCTCCACCCAGGCGTCCTGGTTCTGAACCTCCTCGTGGCCAACAAGAGCTGGCATTCCATCTTTGGTACCTGCTCGCTCCTGAACAGACGTGCGCGCGCCTCACAATCCAGACCCTCAATGCGTCTCCTAGCTGTTCTGCCCACAGCCACGAAAACCTCCACTGCAAACGGTGCAAAGTCTCAGCCCAATCCTCAAAAGACATATCACGCGTAGAAAGCCCAAAGCCCTCACAAGATCCAGAAACTGCTTATCCGATCAGACACTGCAAATCTGTGGTCAAAATATTCAGATCTCGCAGAAAAGACCGGCCACCCGCCAAGAAGCCTCCAAAGATCTGAACAATATTCTAAAACTTTCAAGGTCTGCGCGAGGCACCATCTCCTGTCGTCTCATGAGCCTTCCACCCGGGTCTCGCGCGAGCTGCACCAAGTAGTTGCCCCGCACTGATTTGATATCGGCCTCAAGGGCAACACCAAGAAAAGGCCTCAATGTTTTGGAATGCAAGCAATAACTGATGTTCAACATCTTTGGATGTTCATAATGCATTGTAAATTCCGAAAACTGGTGTGCCTGGTCTAGGCTTCGCATGCCAAAAATGTGTTGGGTCCATACTTGCTTGTTCCAACTCGAAGGACCTTCGGCTAGGGTTTAGAACTGACAGGCTGAGAAGCTGGAACGGGTGCCTCCACGAGGAAGTCAATCAACGCCTTTCGATCCGTGAGGTCATAAACTTTCCTCGGGGTCTGCTCAGCAGCAATTCTGCTCGTGCGCCCACATGAACACACGGTTCCCATTGCCCATGGGCAAGGATATCTGCCAGTTCCACTCGCAGGAGACCCTGTGCGGCAAATGTATGAGGCTCGACGGTTTGAGCACTCGTGGCCGTGCGCTTTGAATATGCGGTGTGACTGGATCACTATGGAGATCACATCTACAGGTCTTTGACTTCGGACACTGCTGCGGATGGTAGCAAAGTTTAAGGACAGAATGTGGCTAGCTCATCATGGCAAATCGGATTGTCCAGGCTTCTAGAAATGGCCACTGCTCTCTCTTCCAAGGCCTCAAAAGCCAGATGAAAAATCCGTGCCCTCCTGCTAAAGGAGCGGAAAGAAGAGGAATCTCTAAGATGCTGTAATGCTTGAGTTGTCTGCAACCCTCCAGGCCCAACCTGAATTCTTAACTCGGCGGCTTTTTTGACTTCGACTATGCAAAGGCAACCTAAAAACTTCTATGGCACGTAATTATGGTATACTTCTCCCCTTTGCTTCTACTTTCATGCCGTTCTCATGCCAGGTATCACCCCAGTAATTTAGCTTTCCAGAAACTTTCGAGAACCAGATTCAGGATGGCAGGTCAAAGAACAGCTGCTATCAACCCGAAACCCGACAGCATCACCTCCTTGTCGTCGCAAATTGCCAGCGTTGAAAGACTTCACGGGGAACCCACTCCACCTAACATGCGGGCTTCTGGTTTGGACCTTTCTACGGTCTTGAATGTGACAAGGCTACATAGAGACCTGTAGAGGCGGCCGACATCTTGAGAAAGGGGCAAAATAGGGTTTGGAACAGGGAGAACAGCCTGTAGGCTGGCTGCCTACATGTTTCAACTTCAAAGGCTTCGAAGGTGAGGAATATTTGAGGCGTGCTGGATATCACATAGCTGCAGAAGATTTTTGGGCAGAAGATTTTTGGGGTGGTGTTTTGCAGGGTGCTGGTTAGTCAAGATTCCACAGGTAAACTAATTTACTTCGCTGGGTCTGCTCGCAACTGAGCCTGTTGACGGGCCTGCTTCGTTCCCTACCCGGTTACCCCCATCACCACCGCGCCCGCCCCGTTGATGATAACTACACCCTTTCTCAAGACACTACCAGTGTAAAACAAAGAGTCAGCTAACTATCATGGGGCTGGGGTGGCTGTTAGTACATAGGAGGAGTAAACTAAAGATACCGACCTTAAACCCTGAACCTTAAAATCTCACCAGGGACCAGGCCGAAGCCCTCCGTCCTCTTAAGGACACCCCCAGGTGCACCCCGTACCAGGCTGACATACTGGGAATGGGGCTATGCGAGGTCAATGTAGGCTCGACATGAGAATCGTCGGGAGATTTCCTTGAAACTCCCCTTTTCTACATTATACTCTAGGGATTACAGGATTATGGGCTCCACATGGTACAAGGTTTCCTCCATCCATCATCAGATTAGGCTCTGTACTGGGATGATATACGGCGTCTGAAAAGGATGTTCAACACAGCGTAGGCTCCAGCACAAGGCGTTTGGAGCTTAACGGCTTCAAACTCAGAAACTTGTGAAGGTGTTACATAGCCTCCTGCGTGTGACTCCAACAAAAGGCTTATGCAAAGCTGGTCCAACATGTTGAGGCTGTGGGGCTTGAACCCTTCATGGGGGCCCAAATACCTGCTGGAGTAATACGGAAATTCCTAGGAATATGAGGTTTGCATCAGCCCTTTCTCGGGAGGGTATCTGGAAATGGGTGCTGGAGTCCCTGCCAGCAGTCCCACAGCAACCCTCAATGCCTGCAGGACACCCACATGGTTCAACTAAGATTTCATGCAGCAGCCAGATAGAATGCAATCATTGCCAGAATCATGATCGTAAGTGACAGTCATGCAGAAATGAATCCGGGTGGTCCTTTCTTACGCAGCAGCTAACATCCTGCCACTATCAGAAGCCACAGCACCACTATGACCTCCTCTGCTGCTTCTACTAACCCCAAACCCGAATTACCAAATGAGGGCCGGGCGTGAGGTATCTCATGAGCATCTTGGTAATGTATGATTTGCCCCGCGCTGGCAAGCCCACCATGCAAAGAAGCACACGAGAGGACTGACTGTACCTGAGCAGCAAATTGTCTGGAAGAAAGAAAGAGGCGTCCTTCCCTCATTACATATATATATATATGTATATATAGATACAGGTATCCGAGGCAGGACAGAACTTGAGTCCCTATTCGAGACCATCTAGGCCTACGTACCTTGAGAAGGGTGCTTCTCACATGCGAGCAAATCATGCCATGCGAAATTTACCTCCAGCACTTAAACCCTAAACTCTATACGGAATCAAGGGGCCATAACATTAATAGTTTAGACCCCTGAACCCTAAACACTATACATCCCCCTAAATCTAAGCGCTCAACCTTGAGACCAGTACCGTGGCTCCTGGAACTCCAGGCTAAACACGGCGATGGAACACTGAACACCAAGCGCTACTTGAAGATTCATCGCTAGCTTCAAGTCGGCTACGAGTCGGGATCCGCAGCTCGGATGGACATGGCCCCTTTGGCTACTACACATGATCGGTGACACTCAGTAGGCCCCTCTCTAAGCAGGCACTTATGAAGCCTTTTCTCGTGGACCCCGCTCAGCCCACCCAAACATGATTCTCACTAGAGGCGGATGGCTCACCCCGCCCCCTCAGCATTAGGGTTATGTCCAGGCATAGAGGGGAATGGAATCGAAAATGGAAGCTTCGACAGTATGTCGGGCTCAGGTCTTACAGGGGTCAAGGGTTTAGGGGTAGACTCGAGAACCAAACGGAACAGAACATGGAAAATGGAATGGGCATAAGGGTCATGTAGGGCTTGTGTAGAGTTATCTTCGGTTCACACACCTTTTGTATTGAATAATATTATAAGGGGAGTCGGCGTTGTGAATATCAGAGGGAGCGGATCCGAATTAGAAGGGAAGGATTGCCCCAAACAGCCCGATGTAGGTTATATCTAAAGACTTTTGGGGCCAATGTAGGTGTTCTTTATAAACTTAGCGCCCAGGGCTAGCGTGGTGCTATGGAAAGCCATAGGTCTGTGTGTGTATGTATATATATATATATAGCCAGGTAGATATTCTGTATGGGGTCTTACCAAACTAAAAAACCTGAAATTACTTTGAACAACCATCCAGACTTGGGGATGTAGAGCTCAGGATTGTATCTGAACCTGCTGGGGTAGGCTTGTGAATCCTAAGCCTTAACCCCTAAACCACATGGTTTAGGGTTTAGGGTTTTAGAATCAGCTTACCTTAAGTGCCTAAGGCTCCTAGGGCGTTGTGGGGCTTTCTGCGGAAAGGCTTGGGCTTTGGGGGGCGAGGGTTTAGGATCCCCTTCTCAGGATCCAAGAGCCTCAGGGTACTGAGGAGATAGCTTGTGGATTCTAGAATAGACTTTGACCAATACCCTCAACATTCCACAACCTTGAGGCTCGTAATGTGAGGCAAGTGTGAATGCCTCTAGGTGGTTGTGCCACTGCGCACCCGTGAAATGTTATAACCCGCACAACCCGAGGGACCCAAGTACCCAAATAATGAGCCCCAAGCACTACAATGTGAGAGTGTTTGGACACCAAGAACCCAAATATTTGGGCACCTGGACCCTAAACTACAGCCTAAACCCTTGAGGAAATTCAGCATGAGGGTCCAAGGGGCCGACTCGTGGCACCGACTTTCAGGGAAAAGCGGCAGGAAGTCAAAAGCCCCTACACTCCCAACCTCAACCAAAAGATCTCAAGCCCTCGAGTGCAGAAGCCGCAGCCTATATGGTAGCTTTCCCAAAATAAGGGGAACCTCAATATAGACCCCAAAATACTGTAATCCTTATTATATGGACCCCCCAAAACAGGTACCCCTAATTTGGGGAAATTCCCATATAGGCGATGAGCGATGCTAGTCATTCTGCTCCTCCTGTTCCCTCTACTTCTAACCACCGTTTGGCAAATATATTTCTGAACCCAAACTACTTGTGCCCTTGAATAGGTGTATATGGTACCTTATGGCGGCATTCAAGGTATATATGGAGCGCAGAAGGAGCGTCTAGGCAGGCAGCTTTCGAAAGACTTGTGTCAACTGAAAGGATTAAGGGGCCATATCATATCATTTGGTTATGTCATGGGTATTTCCTTAAAAGCCCACCCCGTTTTTACATTATGTGATTCTCCATCACAACCCTACAAACACCTTACATGATCTCATCATATCTCGGTGTTCCCGGTATAACCTCTAAACATCCGTATACAGCAAACTCAATTTCTAACAATGAAAGCTCCGGGCCGCACACAACCTTCGATCCAAGC